CCGGGGTGCCGGCGCCACAGGTGGAGGATTAGCCAAGTGAGCTGTGGCGCCGGCCGGGTATTGATAACCTTTTAAATCCACTTCATATTACTTTTAAGTGGTTTCTGAAGGGAGTGAGAAATACAGGTAACTAAAAGTCCTCCTTTCTGAGCTGTGTGTTTCAGGTTTAGCTTTAATATTTGTTTTGGGGCTTTAACAAATACTCATTCCACTGATGTGTCTGTTGATCATTGTTTTTATTCTTATCAGATTTTTTTAGTCCCAATAGAAACAGAAAAACTGCTAATAGAAAGGATAATGGTTTATATTCCTAGAATATACACATCTTAATTCATCATCACCACCACCACCACCACCACCACCATCATCACCACCACCACCAACACCACCATCATCACCACTACCACCATCATCACCATCACCATCATCACCACCATCACCATCATCACCACCATCATCACCACCACCACCACCACCACCACCAACACCACCATCATCACTACTACCACCATCATCACCATCACCATCATCACCACCATCACCATCACCATCATCACCACCATCATCACCACCACCACCATCACCACCAACACCGCCATCATTACATCATCACCACCATCACCACCACCATCACCATCAATCACCATTACCATCACCACCACCATCATTACATCATCACCATCACCGCCACCATCATCATCATCATCATCAATGGTTTCCTTGAGTGCTAGGCGTGTTCTATCTTTAGTCTCTACAATTGTTCTTGGGTAAGAACTATCACAGCCCCCATTTCACAGGGTGGAAAAAACAGGCCTCAGGAAGACTGAGCGCCTTGGGTGAAATCACAAACATAACAAATAGCAGGAAAGGATCTGAACCTCAGTGGGTGGTCTCTGCCTAGGTTTTGTAGGTGTGAGGGAGAAGAGGCTGTGATGAAAGAAGGCTTCAAAATCACCCGAAGTCGTTGGCTACTTTGAAGCTGTGATTAGAGACTCAGTTGTACAAATGACTGCGTGATGGTATCAAGCACTGAGGCTTAGCACAGACTCAGCTCTAGCCTTCGGAATCAAGTAGCAAAGTCCAAAACCAAGAGATGGCGAACTCATCTTTGATTTGTCAATATTCCTGCAATTTGCCTAGAATACAGCTTCTTCTTGGTGTAGAAGGTCAGAGCTTCTTGCTGATCTTATTTATCACTTCATAGAGATAAAGGAATGTACCAATGCCTGGAACAGAGCTTGGTACAAAACAGGTGCTCAATACACACTTGCCAAATGAACATTCTTCTCCAACGTTGGGGCAATTTCCATATTAGGAAATTAGGGGGTTGCTTTCAGATGGAATATGGAGATAACCAGGTAGATGGGGGCATGATGAATGAGGCCTCAAATCCTGCCCCTCTGCCTTCACCAAGCTGTGTACTGGGTGCAGGGCTACACCTGCCTGGAGGAAGGGGCACCATAGTCAAAATCCATAGGCAGGTGCAATATGGGTGAGCAGGAGCCCAGTATTGGAGTGTGTGTGGGGGGTGGGAATTCCTGAGATATGTGCCCCCCAGATGGAGTTCAGGTTAAGTGCGCTTTAAACAGATAGACTTTCAATACACAGAGGAGCAAAGAGTTTAGTGTTCTTGCTGCAGGTGATGCTACAGCCACCAATATTCCTGTACAACCAGGCACAATATGCTCAATCGCATAGCGTGCTGCCTCCTAACTGCCCTGGCTTTGCCTGTAGCTTGAAGAACACCCTTCTCAAGTGTGTAATTTTCAAAGTAGTTTTGTTCTTTAGTCCTACTCCATCTGTACATTTTTTAAGAAGACTTCTCAGGCTTGGTTTAATAAATAAAGCTATTGATTGTTTTGAGATTGCTGGCTCTTTTTGCCATTCAGGGAGCTAGTTATTTTGAGCCTTGTCAGTTTCTTCCACACATTCATGTTGATATCAATGTGCCGTCTCCAACAGAGTTTCTTTTCTTTCTTTCTTTCTTTTTTTTTTTAAGATTTATTTATTTGAAAGGCACAGTTAAGAGAAGCAGAGGCAGAGAGAGAGGGGGAGAGAGATCTCCCATCCACTAGTTTACTCCCTAAGTGGCCATAATGGCTGGAGCTGGGCCAATCCAAAGCCAGGAACCAGGAGCTTCTTCTGAGTCTTCCATGTGGGTGCAGGGGCCCAAGGACTTGGGCCATCTTCCACTGATTTCCTAGGCCATGGCACAGAGCTGAATCAGAAGTGGAGCAGCCAGGACTTGAACCGACACCCATATGGGATGCCGGCATTGCAGGTAGCAGCTTTACCCACTATGCCACAGCGTCGGCCCCCTCTAACCGAGTTTCTTAACTGGAGTGCTGTTGCTATTTGGGCGTGTCGCCATGGCCCTAGAATTGCAAGGCATGAGCCCTGTGGCTGCTTCCGCTGGATGCCAGCAGTGCCCCAGTCACTGAAGTCACTGCAGGGGAGCACATTTCTCGATGATGCAACTTCTGGTAAAGACCCCCAGGCACTGCTGCTGTGCTGAGCTTATCACGGATTCCAGTAGGTGATGTTTGCCAGTGCCAGCACTTACCATGATGAAGCCTGAAGCCTGAAGCACAGGGCAGGGGGTGGGGGTGGGGCACATGCAAGGCAGCCTTCCCCTGCACACCCCTCCTTCGCTGCTTTCTCCTGCAGAATCTTTATCAAGAAACTTAGCGAGCCGGGAGATGCACTGGTTCCATGGGGAAACACTTTGAGGTATGCAATTAGGAGGGAGAAAGATGCACTTTTTAGCATTTGGATTTTAACCTGTTCCATGTTTTTTTTTGTTTGTGTTTGTTTTCACGTGTGACCTGTGATGTCTCCAAACCTACCTGTCTCTCTGCCAGTTCTTGCATATACCTTGCACAAGGCTGGGGGCTTGACATGTATTATTTCATTTCATCCTTATGACAATTTTGCTCAACTTAAAAACAGCTTTCACATTCCAATTTTATAGAACACACTAAGGCTTTACAAGGGTATGACACGTTCTCAGAGTCAGCTTACTACCTCCAGTGTCTGTGTCCTGACAATAGAGTGGTCTGTTGCTATGAAACTATTGAAAATGGACTGGGGGTTAGAAAAAGCAGGCACACCAAGTGGCATCATTAGTATCCAGCCTGTCACTACCAGCTGGAGCGTTTGCTCATCTCAGAGCAAGGAGGGAAATCATCTTTGTGGGCAGTTTTCTAAGTGGCACTGGGAAGAAGGATGAATTGGCTGCTTCATTAATAAACCAGGGTAGAGTGCGGGCACCGGTGCCAGCCGCAGAATCTGCGGCTGCCTGGAGAACTTGGCTGCTGTATCGCTTCCAACCTTTCTGCAAAAAACCCAGGACCGGCGGGTATCAGGGGAGCGGAGGGAAGGGAGGAAATGGGTTGGCTGACCTTAAGGAATCTGGCCCTGGGAAGAGCGAGCAGCGTGCTGCGGACGGGAGGATCCGCTAACCCCGTCCATTCAGGCACACCTTCATTTCATTATTTAAATAAGCATCTACCATGCACCAACCAGGTTCTCCCTCGATGTTGAAGACACAGCAACCAACACAACTGACAAACAGCCCTGTGCTCTTAGAGCTCATATCCTCTAAGGGGACACAGACAGGAAGCCTATGGAACAATAAAATATGAAAATGCTTCCAGAAGTCCAACGGAAAACAGAATGAAAAGAAATTTATTGGGGTACAATTTTTTTTTTAAATTCACATGTATGAGGGGTCTACAAAAAGTTCTTAGAAATTGGGTAGTATGAAAAAACTGCATGGATTTCCAAAACCTTTGGCACCCAAATATACTTATCTTTTCATTCCATTTTTCCACGAGGTTGAGTCGTGGGAGACACCGGATGCAGCCAAGTACTTAGGGCAAAGAGGTGTAGGGAAAGAGAACGGGGCTCTGGGGTGAACCGCGAGCAGCGAGCCCTCCTGAAGTGACGCAGAGCAAGGATCTTCCACTAATACCGCTCTGGGTGCGGCTCTAAGCGCTTTAGCTACGTCATTAATGCTCACAGCATCTCCAAGAACTATGGCTGCGATTTCCCCCGTCTTACTAAGAGAGCCGGTGATATCCGGGCATTACCCAGCTGTCACGCAGCAGAACTCGGATTTGAATCCAGAAATCTGGGTTCGAAGCTGCTGCGCCATTGACTGTTGGCCTGCAACCCAACCCAAGCCTCCGAGGGCACCCAGGAAGCGAGTGGGGGCCTCCAGGGCTTCGCAGAGCGGAGTTCCCCCCGGCGCGCGCGCGGCGGGCGGGTGGGGGAGGGAGCGGGGCTGCCGGGGTTGTCCCGGGACAGGGCTGCCACCCCAGGTCATCTGCTCCAGTCAATAAGATGAGGGCCTCGGGGGGCGCTCGTCTCACTCTTTGGGGGTTTGCCGGGGAGTTCCTATGAGGGAGCCGCGGCGCGCGTCCTGGGCCTAGGACGGAGCGGTCGAGGGGCGCCCGGGGATCCTTGGCAATAAGGGATCCACGTTCAGCAAATGCGGGAGGAAGTACGATGCGCCCCCATACAAAGTGAGGGGCGCCCGAGAAAAGCCTGGAGCTGTAGCGGCCTTGAGCAGCCTTGGGCGTCCTGGGCCATAGCGAGGAACCAGGATGGAGAGGGATGTCAGAACAGTCCCCCACTCCCACCCCACCCAAGAGTGGCCAAGGTGGCTCCGTGTGTGCTGCAAAGAGACATAGAGCCTCCGCACTCCCAGCCAAGCTCACGGAGAAACTCCCTCGGGGCTGGGATTGGGCGCACACGGGGGGCGCTGGAAAGCAGCGGGAAGCGAGCCTTGGAGAGGCTTGGTCAGGGCTCTGGGTCCAGGGCGCAGAGCCGGTGCTGACGGCTGCGGGGAGAGTCCCAGAGGAACTTAGCAGGGGGTGCAGAGCACAGGGAATTTGAAGCGCGCACGGGAGCCGAGAGCGGGCGCCCGCAGGGAGCGCGCCGGTCCCCCGCCAGGTGCGCAAAGCACCTCAGCCGTGGTCGCCCCCGGACTCACTCACCATAATGGAGAAGACCAAAGCGACGATATTGATGGGGTACGCGGGGCAGAAACACGCGACGATGGTGAGCCACAAGTAGTTCTTGGGCATGGGCGCGTCCTCCTCGGTCTTGTCATCCTCCGTGTTGGCCTCGGGACTACTGTCCAAAGCCCGTTTGAAGTCCGAGTTGGGGGCGTACTGAGACATGGGGAGGCCGGGCGAGGGCAGGGTCAGCGCGGTCTGGGGCTCTGGCCGCCGGCTCCTGGGGAGGCTCTGATCAGCCAGCGGCTTGGGGCTCCGGGGAGATGTGACCTCACCCCTCTCAAGTCCTCCGGCTGCACCCGCCCCGCTCAGGGCCCAGGGCCAAAAGCCTCCTCACCCGCAGGGAGGGAGGGAGTAAGAGAGAGTGAAAAGTGGTGGAGGCAGCCGGTCAGCCTGAGAAACTGGGGAGAGGCGCTTCGGAGGGAGGCAGCTGAGCGGCAGGCAGGTGGGACAGAGACACAGACCCACACTGAGAAGCCCGAAGTCCGGAGGAGAGGAGGATCAGGGTAGCCAGAAGCGAAGGCCCTTTAAATTCCACACTGGCCAGCTGGCCGGCTGAAGGTGCCCAGCTCATTCTTAAAGCCACTGAATTTAAACACACTCAGAGAGGTCGGGACTCACCCTGTGCAGGTGCCCACAGCCTTACTACTCCTTTTGATCTCTGTAGCCCAGTTGGCCCAAGTCCCGTGCCTGGGTCTGTCTTCTACTTGGACTTTGGAACCACTGGAGCTGCCCTGGAGCAAGGTGTTCACCCCTGGCCTCTTCCCTTGCCTCCCTCATTCGACTGGGACTCAGGAGCTGGGAGTCCAGGGTTGCCAGCCAGTGGGCACCACCCAATCAGCACTAGTCCTGGTGGCCTCCCCATTTTCCCAATGTGGGAGCCAGAAACTCTTTCCTCTTATTTATTTATTTATTTATTTATTTTTTTTTTTTACTGTTCTACCTGGAGGACCCCTGGAGAGAAATGCAGGCAGTTCTGGCGGGTGTAGGCAGCCCTGGGGAGGGCGTAGTTGGGCTGGGGAGAGCAGAGAGGTATCCACTTTGCAAACTGAGGTAAGGATAGCAAATGGTATCAGTAGCTAAGCCACTCCTGAGCAGCTGTGTGGACCAGAATGGAGGCTCTGAACCCGAACAGAGCTAGGATATTGCCAAGCTGGGTGACCTAAGAAGAGCCCCTTTTTCTGCATCTGGAAAAAAAAGAAAAACAACTTGGTCCCTGCTTTGTGGGAATGTTGTGAGGACTCTGTGAGATGGCACGTTAAGGCAGGCAAGTCTGGGCACTCAGTGAACGTAAATGTAGTCAATTTGACGGTGTTTCAAATCTGATATCCATTGTTGCAAGTATTCCACCCAACACCCAGCTATTCTGAGCTGGCAGGACCACAGAGAAATGAAAATAATGTTATTTTGTATAAAGACGACTGCTTACATCATTATACTTTGTATTAGTCAAAAGCTTGGCTTATCTTGGCACCTGCACCAATTGGGATGTTGTCACTTTTCTCATGGGGCCATGCTGATTTGGTTTGCTGCCGTCCTCTCTGGACTGCAAACCCCTGGAGAGAGGGGACCGTCTTACTCATCTTTGTGTCAGCACCTGGCGCAGTGCCTGGCGCACAAGGTATAAGCTTAGTGTAACTTGCTGGCTGAACACACAAGGATGAAATCATAGCTTCCCACCAGGCTGTGTCCCACACTGATTCATCAAGTGGGAATAACTGAAAGATAACGTTCATCTGCCCAGGTCTCGGTGAAGGCTTTCCACTGGCTATTCCCTCTTCCTGGAATACTGCTTCCCGCAGACTGTCACATGGCCTCTTCTTATTACTCCTTAGTCTGTCAGCTCAAAAATCACTTCCTTGGGACTGCGCTGTGCCGTAGCGGGTAAAGCTGCCACCTGCAGTGCTACCATCCCATATGGGCGCTGGTTCAAATCCTGGCTGCCCCACTTCTGATCCAGCTCTCCACTATGGCCTGGGAAAGCAGTTGAAGATGGCCCAAGTCCTTGGGCCCCTGAACCCATGTGGGATACAAGGAAGAAGCTCCTGGCTCCTGGCTTTGGATTGGTGCAGCTCCGGCTGTTGCGGCCAATTGGGGAGTGAACCAGTGGATGGAAGACCTCTCTCTCTCTCTCTCTGCCTCTCCTTCTTTCTCTGTATAAGTCTGACTTTCAAATAAGTCTTTTAAAAAATCACTTCCTCAAAGAGAACTTCTCTTTGAAATGATCTAGCCTAGTTTCCCATAATTCTATAGTTTATCAGCTTTATGTGTGTGTGTGTATGTGTGTATACAGCATGCTCCACAATTGTGATGTATTTATTCACTATGCGTTCTTTTTTTTTTTTTTTTTGACAGGCAGAGTGGACAGTGAGAGAGAGACAGAGAGAAAGGTCTTCCTTTGCTGTTGGTTCACCCCCCAAATAGCTGCTACGGCCAGCATGCTCTGCCGATCTGAAGCCAGGAGCCAGGTGCTTCCTCCTGGTCTCCCATGCAGGTGCAGGGCCCAAGGACCTGGGCCATCCTCCACTGCCTTCCCGGGCCACAGCAGAGAGCTGGCCTGGAAGAGGGGTAACTGGGACACAATCCGGCGCCCCAACCGGGACTAGAACCCGGGGTGCCGGCACTGCAGGCGGAGGATTAGCCTAGTAAGCCGCGGCGCAGGCCCACTATGTGTTCTTTCTCTGGACTGTAAGCTCTCAAGTCTGTTTAGAACTGTATTTTCAACACTTAGAAGTGTTTTGGGGGTGGACGTGATGGTGTAGCAGGTTAAGCCATCACTTCTGTCGCCTGCATGCCCTATTGGAGTGCTAGTTTGAGTCCCGGCTCCTTTTGTTTTTTGCCCAGCTTCCTGCTAATGGGCCTGGGAGGCAAGTACTTGGTTTCCTGCCACCCTTGTGGGAGACCCAGACGGAGTTCCTGGCTCCTGGCTTCATACCAGCCCGGCTCTGGCTGTTGTGAAAATTTAGGGAGTGAACCAGTGGTTGGATGATCTCTCTCTGTCTCTCTTCTCTTAGTCACTCTGCCATTCAAATAAATAAATGAATAAAATAATTCTTAAAAAAGAAATATCCTGACACATAAGAGGAATGCAAGAAATATTTCTTGAATGAATGTCTCAGAACTACCTGGGAGTATTGAGAAGAATGATTTCCAGGTCTTGGCTAAGACCTGCTTGAGTTAGAATGTCCTGGCACTCCAGAAATCTGTATTTTTGATGCTTAAGAAATCTGTGTTTCCAGAACACTCTGCTGTGATTCCTTTATTTTTTTTTTAAAGATTTATTTATTTATCTGAAAGACATAGTTCCAGAGAGGCAGAGGCAGGGGCAGAGAGAGAGGTCTTCCATCTGCTGGTTCACTCACCAGTTGGCTGCAATGGCTGGAGCTGGGTGCTTCTTCTGGGTCTCTCATGTGGGTGCAGGGGCCCAAGGACTTGGGCCATCCTTCACTGCTTTCCCAGACCATAGCAGAGAGCTGGATTGGAAGAGGAGCAGCTGGGTCTTGAACTGGCACCCATATGGTATGTGGGCACTGTAGGATGGCTTTACCCACTAGGCCACAGCGCTGGCCCCTCTGTTGTGTTTCTGAGGTAAGCGGACAATTCCTCAAATCCCAAATACTTTGCCTGGTTCTCAGGAAGTAGTGCTGGATATTGAGTTTGGAGACCCCTATAGGTGTCTCAAACTCAACCTGCCAAGGTGGACTCCTGTTTTCCCCAAGAATTTGCTTCTCAAGGCTCCGCCCTTGGCCAGTGAGCTCTACCCACTTTTCCAATGGCCTCCTCTCCCACTCGTCTTCCTCCTTTTCCTTTCTGAAACACCGTAGCCTTTCCTACACCAGGATCTCTGAACCTGCTGCTCCGTCCTCCTGAAATTCCCCTCTTCTCTTCCATGTGGGCTCCTTCTCATCTCTCCACACACACCCACCCCACAGACCTGCACAGAGAGGCCTTCTCTGGCCCTTGTAGCTGAAGTAGACCCCATCCACCTGTTTTCCATCCCAGTACCTGTTTATGACGTCACAGTTACCACAGCAGAAATTACTTTGCTTCTTCATTTGTTGACTCTCTTCCCCACCAGTAAGGAAGCTCTACCAGGGCAGAGAGGGCTTTCTCTGGGATGTCCCTGCTCCCAGAACGGTACCTGGCTCTCAGCAGGTGCTCGTAGATAGTTCACTGAATGAATACTCTGTGCATGTGGTCATGCAGGTTAGCCAGGTGGGGGCATTATTCTCTCTCCTTCATTTGACCTGATTGAGTCCATCTCAAATGGGACTCTTCACTTCGTCGTCTTTCCCCATCCCCATGGCCTGTGTTCCAATTCCAGTTCTTGTCTACAGTGAAAATGCCCAGTGAGGACTCCAAACCATTTTTGTGATTGAAGCTTGTTAATTCCATTGGCATGACTAAGTCCGAGGTTTGAGTACCAAATAGGATGTTGCTTTTGCAAAGTCATACACTGTACCATCTGCTCTTACCTTCTAGTGTGGTCAAGGGAAATGCAAAAGGTGGAGTTGTTGACTTAGGATAGACTGTTCCTCTGCCAGGAAAACAATTGTTGAAAACCCATGCAATACTCCAGAATCAGCAAACATTTAATGAGTACCCACTGTGTGCATTCAATGCACTCTACATGCATCACCTCATTTAACACCTATAGCAACTTTTGTGAGATAGGTGGTGAGGTTTCTGTTTTACAAATGAGGACTCCTAAGATGATGTCGGTTGAGGGTCTTGTTTAAGGTCCTGCAGCTAAGCAGGGGTGCCAGGATCTGAATTAGACCTGAAAGCTGTTCAGCCGGCAGGTCCAGGTGAGAGTCAGATGGACATTTCTGAAGTTTGCTGGAGCCATCATATTCTCGGTATCTCAGGGAAGATGGATTAATAGCTTGTTGACTGCTCTAAAATGTAGCAGTGAAATTGTGATCACTTGAAACATTTAAAATTAAATTGAAAAGAAAGTGCCCACACCAGAAAGTGTAATGTATATGGCGCTGATTCTTCAGGGATGTGTGAGATCACTCAGTTGGGGTTTCCAGCTCTAATTTCCTAAGCTCCACTAATTTTCTCTTGAGAGGTCAGTTTATTGCTCTTGGATGAACCCTACTGGCTGATTGCTTAATAATGTGGCAATACCTTCTCTCTTTAATATGAGACAGAGGAAGAGGCACCTTCCTAATAGAAGTCCAACAAGGGGAAAGGCTTATTGAAGTCTTCTGGATCCCAATGTAACAACTTTCTGTGTTGATCTTTGATAAGAACTTTTATTTCCAAGTGTAAAAGCCATATATGTCCGTTCTAGAAAGTTCTAGAAAGGTGAGGAAATGAAGAAAGGCATACAGAAGCAGAGGCATCACCCAGTGATACTACCTTAACCACAAGGAGCTGTTTCCTTCCAACCACCTTTCTACATGTGAATATCTTTCTTCAATAAATGCAGTTTTGTTTCCTATTTTTCTCACTCGATGTTATCCGTTGACCAATCTTTGCAGCTATGTTTATAGTCTGCATAACTTCTCATTAAGATTGGTTGCATCGTTATTTATGTCACCATGCCCTGATCACTAGGCTCTTAGGTTATTGATCGTGTTTTTTTGGTGATGATGAAACATGCTATAGGAACATCATTTGTAACCATGAATGCACTGTGCTGACTTCTTTGTGATTCATGATCTTGTTGGGTAGGCGGCAGCCTCTGAAGGAGCAGAGTTGGAAAGTTGTATTAGAAGATTTGGGCCAAATTAACAACATTAAAATTTTTATTCATTTGAAAGGTGATGTAACAAAGAGCAACATGCACACGCACACGCACACGCGCACACACACACACACACAGAGTGCTTCTGCCCACAGGTTCACTCCCCAACTGCTCACAACAACCAGGTGTGGGCCAGACTGAAACTAACAGCCAGGAACTCCATTCTGGTCTCCCACGTGGGTGGCACGGGAGCCCTGGCACATTAGCAGGAAGCTGGATCAGAAGCAGAGTAGACAGGACTTTAACCTGTACCCCAGTGTGGGTTGTTAGCCTTGCAAATAGTGGCTTGACCTGCTGTGCCACAACACTGGTTCCCACAATTAAAGTTTAAGCCAAGGAAATCATCACAAGTTCAATGGACTACATAAATGAGTAGCTTGAAATGAGATGGATTCACAGAGTGACTTCCCAATGTCAGATGGACCCCTAAATGTAGACTATTCATGGGGCGATGCGGAATCTATGAGTGTGTGCTGAAAATCTGTGTCTTTGATCTTAGCTTGTCTAGGATTGCAAACTAAAAGAAAGGGGTGGGGGGAGAGATTGATTTTCTGCTCATCTGTGAAATGCAAGAGAAAGAGTCCTGATCTTTAGGAAATGGTAAGAGGGCGAATGATTTGTTGCCAAATTTTGCATTAGTGTCAAGTACCAGCCTTTGGCAGTCATAAAGTGACTGCTGTGGTCCCAGGGGTTTGCTACAAAAGAACAGTGTCTTTCTGGCTGATATTACTAGAAAACCACTTACCTTTCCAGTTTCCAGCAACTTTAGTCCTCTTAAGGGGGAGGGAAAAGAGGAAAACTAAGGGAAAGGGAATATGAGGGAAGAGATTCTGTACTGTTAATTTCTCAGATCATGACCACTTCAGGACAGAGGAGCACAAAACACAAGTTCTGCTTCTGATCCAGCTTCCTGCCAAGGTGCCTGGGCCCCCGTTACCCATGTGGGAGACCTGGGTGGAGTTCCTGGCTCCTGGCTTCAGTCTGGCCCAGAAATGACTGTTGTGAGCATTTGGGGAGTGAATCAGCAGATGGAAGACCCTCCCCCACTCCCTCCCCCTCCCCCTCTCCCCATCCCCCTCTCCCTTTCCCTCCCCTCCTCTCCCCCTTTCCCTCTCCGTCCACTCCTCTCCCCCCTCCCTCTCCCTCCACTCCTCTCCCCCCTCCCTCTCCCTCCACTCCTCTCCCACTCTCCCCCTCTCCCTCTGCCTCTCCCTCCCCCTCTCCCCCTCTCCCTCCCCTCCTCTCCCCTTCTTCCCCTCTCCCTCCCCTCTTCTCCCCCCTCCCCCTCTCCCTCTCTCTCCCCTCCTCTCCCCCTTTCTCCCTCTCCCTCTCCCTCTCTCCTCCTCTCCCCATCTCCCCCTCTCCCCCTCTCCCTCACAAAGGTAAAGAACTTTTCAACTGCTCAACACGGCCCAACCCTCCAGAATCACCACACATCTAATAGGTGCCTACTGTGTGCACTCACTTCCTATATGCATCATCTCATTTAATTCCTACAGCAACTTTCACGATGTGTCTTTATAAAAGAGGAAAGCTACAATCATACAGGTAGAGGGACCTGTGCAAGGTGTTATAGCTAAGAGGAGGTGTCAGGATCTGAACTAGGTTCTAAGAGAGTTAGATGCACACCCGCGATATTTGATTAGAAAGAAATCACCCAGGAATGGGTATTTGGGATAGGGGTTAAGACATTGCTTGGGATGCCCAAATCGCATATCAGAGGGCGTGGATTCTAGTCTTGGCTCCACTTCCAATTTTAGCTTTCTGTGGATGCACGCCCTGGGCAGCACCAGGTCATGGCTCAAGTATTTAGACCCCTGCCACCCACTTGGGAGACTCAGATGGAGTTCTGGATTCTCAGCTTCTGTCCGACCCAGCCCAGTCTGTTGCAGGCATTTGTGGGAGTGAGCCAGTCAATGAAAGAGCTCACTTGTTCTCTCTCTCTCTCCCCTATTCAAGTAAGATGAAAATAAAAAAAATTTATTTACTTTTTTTAAAAAAAGATTTATTTATTTCTTTGAAAGGAGAGGCAGAGAGAAAGAGAGAGAGAGAGAGAGAGAGAGGAGAGAGGTCTTCCATCCGCTGGTTCACTCCCCAGCTGGCCGCAACTGTCAGAGCTGCACCGATCCGAAGCCAGGAGCCAGGAGCTTCTTCCAGGTCTCCCACATGGGTACAAGGGCCCAAGGACTTGGGCCATCTTCTATTGCTTTCCCAGGCCACAGCGAAGAGCTGGACAGGAAGTGGAGTAGCTGGGTGTTGAACCGGCACCCATATGGGATGCTGGCGCTTCAGGCCAGGGCGTTAACAGTGCTGGCCCCGAAAATAAAAATTTTTAAAAAGACAGAAACCACCCATACCTCAATATAGGAGCCATTGACATTGTCACGCTCCTTCTAGTTCTTGTACCCAGGCTCAATTTTCACACACTTGTAATGAAAATGCACAAACAATTTTGTATCTTGATTTTTTTTTAAAAACAACTTAAGGCTCTACATTAAACCCTTCCTGCACTGTGATTCTCTGCTTAGCCATTTTTTATGACTTTAATAATTTTATGATAATTTAACTGCTTTCCCCTTGTTGGATAAGGTTCGGGATCTGGAGGCATTTTTGTGTTAAAAATGAGGAGGCAGAGAATTCTGTCTACCTTTCCTCTCCACCCTGCCCAGGAAGGCAGCTTGGCTTCATCAGATGAGCTGGAGACATTCACAGCTGTCTGTGCTGGGGGCGGGGCAGGGGGCAGGGGAGGTCTCCTGAAACTGATTTATTTGGAAGAATCTGAACTCCAAACCACTTAGGACCTGAAAGGCTGAGAGCTGATGTAGGGGCCTGCACTCTGGAGTGATGGGCAGTGGGCACACTGGGGGTGATGGATGAGCGGGCTTGGTCTACAGAGGGTGTTAGCAAGAGTGAAATGGAATAGGTAACAATTGCACTGAAGGGGCTGGTGCTATGGCGCAGTGGGTTAAAGCCCTGGCTTGAAGTACCGGCATCGCATATGGCATATGGGCGCCGGTTTGAGATCTGGCTGCTCTACTTCCAGTCCAGCTCTCTGCTATGGCCTGGGAAAGCAGTAGAGGATAGCCCAAGTCCTTGGGCCCCCTGCACCTGTGTGGGAGACCAGGAAGAAGCTCCTAGCTCCTGGCTTCAGATCAGCGCAGCTTTGGTCTTTGGGGCCATCTGGGGAGTGAATCAGTGGATGGAAGACCTCTCTCTCTCTCTCTCTCTCTCTCTCTCTCTGCCTCTCCTCTCTCTGTGTAACTCTGGCTTTCAAAAAAAAAAAAAAAAAAAGAATTGCACTGAAGTGTGGCCTGGACAGGGAGAGCTAAATTTCTGTGTGTGGTGCACCTGTTAAGACCAGAGATTCTGGACTTCTCTCAAGCGGTATCATACTCTATTAGTTATCTTTTTATTCCTTGAAAAACATTTCTTTGGCTACTACATATCAGGTACTATTTTCGGTACTGGTGTTACAATGGTAAGTAAGAGCACCACGATTCCTATTCTTATGGATTAAAAAAGTAGGATTCTTATAATTCCTGATAAAGGAAATAGAATGATGTGAGAGTGACCTAGAGGAGTGGAATACTTAAAAAAAAAAACATTTATCTTATTTAGTTGAAAAGTAGAGTTACTGAGAAAGAGGGAGAGATGAGAGAGAGAGTGAGAGGTCTTCCATCTGCTGGTTCACTCCCCAGATGCCTGCAATGGCTGGGGCTGGACAAGGGCAAAGCCAGGAGCCTGCAACTCCATCCAGGTCTCCCATGTAGGTGGCAGGGGCCCATCTTCCACTGCTTTCCCAGGCGCATTAGCAGGGAGCAGCATCAGAAGTGGAGCAGCCGGGACTCGAACCAGCCCTCCCAGTGTGGCAGGTGATGGCTTAACCCACCAGGCCACAGCACTGGCCCCAGTGGAGTACTTTTGAGGAAGTGAAAGGATGCATCGGTAGATTTTGTTTATCCCTGATGCCACTTTGCACCTTGCTGGCCCCTGTCCTGTGCCCCGGCAGCCTGGCGTGACTGTTCTAGATGAGGGGCCAGCCAACCATGGCCTGCTGGCTGGTTCTGGCAGTAAAGTTTCCATGGCACAGAGCCACACTCATCCCCGTGGGTGTTGTCTGTGGCTTTGCCCGCACTGAACTGCCAGAGCTGAGTAGTTGCGACAAAGACCGTGTGACTCAAACAGTGGGGAATTCTTACTAGGGAAGTTTGCAACTCTACTTCAAAGGGCCTCCTGGACATCTGGTTTCAGATGGATTTGGCCAGCAGAGAGTCTTGGCAGGAGGAGGGAGGGAGGGAGGCGAGGGTCAGGGTGTTTGCTCCCTGGCCGCCTTCTTGCTCAGTTGCCTGGAGCTGTGTGAGTCACTGGGTTGGAGGCCGCCAGTGCTCTAAGGGCAGCTCTCTGCATGGAACCCTCCTTCTGAATTCCAGAGTGCCCCTGCCCTTTCCCCCTTGGGTTGAAGAGGGACAACAGCCCCTCTGTTGCTCCTGGCGTACTGCACTGTCCCTTCCAAGTAAGCCTTCCTCTAATGTTCCCAGTGTGCCAGCTGAGGCCGCCTGGCCCTGTGACTGCTTTAGAATGTCTCCTTGGAGGTGTGGCATCTGAGGGGCTACCTGATGCCTAAGGAATCCGGGTATTTGAAGAGCTAAGGAAAGAGCATGGCTGGCAAAGGGTCCAGCATGTGCAAAGGCCCTGAGGTAGAAAGGAACTCATAGTACTCCAGAGACGGAGTAAGGCCAGCAAGGGCTGGAGATTAGATAGAAGAGGTGAGAACAACTGTCACACATACGGCCTTTCCAGTAATGGGTCTGGGATTTATTATTAGAAAAGTAGGATGGCATTGCAGCATCCTATTGAATATGTGGGTGTGACCCAATTAGTATTCTTTTGTGATAATCAGTCATATGGATTAATCAGTTGTCAGATACAGAGAATGATTGAAACTAGGGAAAGTTCATGGGAAGGATGATTTATTTCATGAACTCCAGGAAGATTTAGAAACTTAGGGCCCAGGACAGGCGGAAGCCAGGGCAGGTGTGAGGACCTCTCCATAGGAAATAAGATCTTCTTGGGACTGGTGCTGTGGCGCAGTGGGTTAATGCCCTGGTCTGCAGTGCTGGCATCCCGTATGGGTGCCAGTTCTAGTCCCGGCTGCTCCACTTCCCATCCAGCTCTCTGCTATGGCCTGGGAAAGCAGTGGAAGATGGCCCAAGTGCTTGGGCCCCTGCACCTGCATGGGAGACCCAGAAGAAGCTCCTGGCTCCTGGCTTCGAATCGTCACGGCTCTGGCCATTGCGGTCATCTGGGGAGAGAACCAGTGGATAGAAGACCTCTCTGTCTCTCTGCGTCTCCTCTCTCTGTAACTCTGTCTTTCAAATAAATAAAATAAATCTCAAAAAAAGGAAATAGGGTCTTCTCATCCCAGCTCCCAGCTTCTCATCCTCCTATGTCTAGGAACCAAATTCTAAGCTGTTGGGAGAGAGTCCAGCCTAACTCAGAGCCATGGGTTGCAGTCAGCTGGTGGCCAGCATGGTGGAGTGAAGGCATTATCTGTTCCTTGATTCGCTCACAAACACTGTGCAAAAGCATTACGTGTGCTGTCCTGGGTGCTAGCAGTGCAAACGGTGCTGAGTTAGAATAGTGACCCTGTCCACGCTCTCATGGAGCTTGTGTTTGTGGAGTGGCCCGTCCTTCAAATAAAAAGGAAATGCAAGCAAAAATATTTCAAGTTCCTTAAAAATGCACAAATGATTTTAAAATTCTCCTCAAAGGAAGGGATTTGAGGTGGCCACGGTCGTACATCCAAAGACTGGACCAAGCTTAATACCCAGTGGGTGTTCGGACAGGACTAGTGATCCGAAAGCCTGGGAAAGATCCCTATGCTGGGGGGCCTTGGGCAGGATGATGTGGGAAGGCCTCAGTGGGATGTGAGAGAAGCCCTGTGGAGAGTGAGGATGTAAGCTGAGTGGGCAGGAGGACTAGGGTGAAGTCAGACAGTGCTTGGGATGCACGAGATGCACGTGTAGGCCTTGGAGACAGAGGGGTGGATGGGCACTGGAATGGCCTCTCCACGGGGGTGTAATTCAAGGAGCACCTCAGGGAGGGGCTGTGGTAGGTGCACCGACTGTAAAGTGACCGTGTTGCCTGGTGAATGACCAAATGGCCATAACCCTCACAGCGGGCATCTGTGACTGATTGTAGTGCTTCGGAGCTGAAGAAGATAAAAATTGTGTCCCTTCCCATACCCCTTCTTGTAGCTTCTGAACTATCTCAGAGCAAAAGCGCACAAGCACTGGATCCCTGTCGCCCGTAACCACAGTACGGAGTGTGCTCCCTCATCCTTTCCAGAGGGTTTTGTGCTTTGATTCTTGCTGGTTGTGGATGGGAGACGTTAGTTTCTTATTGTGGGGTCATGGAGGTTTGCTTGCCCAGGACAAGAGCTGAGAGGGAGGGAGGAGAGAGACAGAGACAGAGACATAGGCGGGTGGGGGGTGATTTTGCAAACTCATCTCAGAAGGGACATTCCATCACTATCACTGTGGGGTGTTGGTTATGAACGTGTCACTGGGTCCGGCAACACTCAGGGGGAGGGGATCCCACAAGGGCCTGGATGAAGGTGGGGAGCACCTGCCACAGCACCCTGTTCAGTCCTGTTTCCATCTCCCTGTGAGGTACTGGAGCTAAGTCACTCGGCCAGCATCCCACGACCAATGAATGGTAGAACTGAGTCTGCTTGCTCATTGGGTCTCTACACGGTTATCCACTTCCCACTGGCCAAATACCAGAGCATTCATGGTGACAGGACTGTCCCATGGGTTCTAATAGGCTTTTAACCCTCTCTTCTTCATTCGTCTCTCATTTAGCACGGGAGGGTTGGCCTCAGGCTCAGAATCTTGGGAAGACAATGGTATCTGGCAGAATGTAATAACATTGTTTGCTTCTAATTGTGTATGCCTCCAGTTTTGGCAAATAAAGTGGCTTTCAGGTGGTGGTAGTCACATAAAAATTTTCTTTCAAACACTTTAAGCTATAAAATACAGTATAATAAAAATTAAGTAGCAAAGGGAGTGTCAGAGACGGCAAACGTATGGAAGGTGATCTGTGGATTTCTCGAATTGGGGAACTGTTGCCTAGACTGTGATACATCTGTGCTGAACACAACCTTATAGATATAGTTCTACCTTTGTTTCCCCTTTGTGTTATGGCCACGTAAAATGCAGCCAAGACAGAAGAAGTAACTTCCCAAGGGTGCATGGCCCCATGATAGAGTCCAGGTGGGGGAATGCAACCCTCATGTTTTCTTTGGTGTTTCTCTTCTCTTGCTTTGGTCTCTGTTACTTACCAGGTTGAAACAGTGTTTCACTCTCCTTGTTCTTGGTCTTACCAGGCTCCTCTCTCCACTCACTGTCTTCTAACTCAGTGTTTCTCAGCCCTGGCACCGCTAACATCCCTATAGGCAGGAGAATTCTGCGTTGTGGGGGCTGTGCACTGGAGGACACACAGAAGCACCACTAGCTCCACCCACCAGGTGCCCGTAGATTCTGGCCTCCAGCTGTGGCAACCGAGGCTGTCTCCAGACACTGCCCCATACCTGCTGTCGTGCCAAGGCGCCCCGTCGGGTACTACTGTTCTCAAACGTTGCTTTGCATTTCCATGGGCTCTCAGCTGCCGCTGAGCTATGGCTCATGTTGCATAACACCGCTCTAACACAGTCGTAAGGCCAAACAATGCTCCAGTGCGATATTTGCAATGAATTACATGAGCCCCTGCGAGGGGGAGGGGGATTCCGGCATTAAACTTTCAGAAGCAAATTGTTCCTGAAGGATAGACTACCCACAATGCAGTTTTACTCCCAAACACTCAGAGCATTAGAGAATGACAGGATAAATCAAATGGAAGTATTTATCCAAAAACACTCATTTCATTATTTGTATTATTTTGCAAAAACAAACAAACAAACAAACGAAGAGCCTCACCTACATGTCTAGCAAGTGCAGCCTGAGAGAAGTCTGTGGAAGGAGCGCTCTTGAACGATGCCTGAGTGTGTTGTTGAGGCTGGGGTGAGCTCAGCCTCTGCTTGGCTGAGAATTAGCCGTTTTTAATTGCTTAAGAGGGCTTCCTGGGAGTGCGGCACAGCACTAAGGGTTTGGGACCATTCCGTGTGCAAGCGGGAAGGATGGTAGTGCCGTCCTAATGTCTTCAATTACCCACGCGTGGGCTTTCCATCCTGATCCAGCAGGAAAGCTCGCGGGCTCCTGGGGAATTTCTGTCTGCGGTAAGGATGAACACTATTCTGGGTCTTTTTTAGCCAATGAAGGTACCCTGTGCTCTCACTAAGGGAAAAATCTCTGTTGTTCTTTGGAGTAAATTTGAAAGTAGGTTTTTCCAAGGCAGAGCGGCAGCGAGCACAGCCTGTGACCCCTTTCTCTTTCTTCTTTCTCCTTCTATCCCCACCAGCTGCCTCCCTCTGCATCCCCCCTTGCACATCCTCGCTTCTTTCTGCCTTTGATCTGTAGGCAAACTGGATATAACGCGGAACAACACACGCGTTTCTTCTGTTTTACGATTTGCACTCTGGGGTGCTTTGCTTGTCTTTCTCGTTCACTTTACAAAACCCCGAATAAGGCAACATGGTTCTGGGAGACGGGGTGTGAAATTGTTCATCAGCTAGAAGAATCCTCAGACATATGCCACTGGCTGACTTCCGTTTCTCCAGGCAGGCAGAGCTGGGGAGAAGCAGAGTTCAGTTCAGGCAGGAGAGAAAGAGGCTTGCGGGGCCATCGGGGCGAAACTTGGCCTGTGCTGTCCTCCTGGTCTCGGCGTCTCCCTGCAGAGGCTGCGTGCGTATGTTAGGGAGCCCGGACTGCGTGAGCCAGACCTCTTCCTGGCTGCTCACCACAACCACCAGGGGGGAGCTTTCCAAAAGAGGCAGATGTATTTTTAGCCCTGGGTTCAAATCCTGGCATCTCTCTGTCTTACACTCCTCCCGTGTGACTCAGATGGAGCCAGCCTGGATCTGGGATCACATGGTTTTGGGGGGACGGTAATGAGTAGAACTAAAGGCACCTTAGCAGGAACTCGGACGTTCCCGACACCCTCCATGACTTAAGGGACTGACGGAGGCCAGTGGTTGTATCATGTAGGGGATAATGGTGCTCAAGACACCCAGCTGAGGCCGGCGCCGCACACTAGCTAATCTCCGCCTGCGCGCGCACCACCGGGTTCTTAGTCCCGGTGGGCGCCGGATCCTGTCCCGTGCCCCTTCTCCAGGCCAGCTCTCTGCTGTGGCCAGGGAGTGCGGTGGAGGATGGCCCAGGTGCTTGGGCCCTGCACCCCATGGGAGACCAGGAAAAGCACCTGGCTCCTGGCTCCTGCCATCGGATCAGCGTGGTGCGCCGGCTGCAGCGTGCCGGCCGCGGCAGCCATTGGAGGGTGAACCAACGGCAAAGGAAGACCCTTCTCTCTGTCTCTCTCTCTCACTGTCCACTCTGCCTGTCAAAAAAAAAAAAAAAAAAAAAAAAAAAAAGACACCCAGCTGAAGATGACAAATCCCTGTTTCCCCAGCTTCCTGATGGGGGGACTTTGCGTGAGGCACTCAGTGTGTGACAGCCTTGGTCTTCCTGCCTGTGAGATGGGAATAATAGCATCAGCCCTAACGAGGTTGCTGTGAGCATGGCAGGAGAGTCGTGGGAAGTGCTTAGCAGGGTGCCGGGCACATAAGTGCTGAGGGCTGAGTACTGTGGACACAGAAAGGACAACACTATTTTTCTCAAGAGGCCTTGAGGTGGCATGACAGAAGCTAAAACCATTGGCATGCTTCAAGTTCGAAGGTAGAAGCTCGAGGGAGGGTGTGATCAAAATCTAAACTCATGAAAGTGAAAATGGAGAAGACATTTATATAGAAGAATGGATGTCCTTTCCCAATCCCCCAAACACTGGGGAAACTCAGCTTAAACCACGAGACAGAATATTCTGATTTTTTGATAGCCACAGCCACACTGTTTCCTTTCTGGTCCTCTAAGTACTTTTGTTCCCACCTCAGGACATTTGCATATGCTGTTTCTGCCACCTGGAATACCGTCTCTCTGATCTTCACATGTTGCTTCCTCAAGTAAGATTCTTTACACATGCTGTGCCTGAGTAGCCACTAAATTGCCACTGCACCATCTTTCCCTCCCCCTCTTGTGTTCTCCAAACTGTTTGAAATAATTTTTTTCAACCACCACCACCACCACCACCACCACCACCATTGCCACCACCACTCCTATCTACTTAGCATGTGTCCCTGTCACTAATATTTCCTGTTGTATCCCAGGTCCTAGAACAGCACCCGCCATGCAGTAAATGATGTTGAGTACACGAATGAGTAAGGGGACATGTGGATGGCAAAGCCGTAATTTTTTTTTTTTTTTTTGACAGGCAGAGTTAGACAGTGAGAGACAGAGAGAAAGGTCTTCCTTCTGTTGGTTCACCCCCCAAATGGCCACTGTTGGCTGCTGTGCTGATCCGAAGCCAGGAGCCAGGTGCTTCCTCCTGGTCTCCCATATGGGTGCAGGGCCCAAGCACTTGGGCCATCCTCCACTGCCTTCCCGGGCCACAGCAGAGAGCTGGACTGGAAGAAGAGCAACTGGGACAGAATCCAGCACCCCGACAGGGACCAGAACCCCGGGAGCGGGCGCCACAGGCGGAAGATTAGCCTAGTGAGCCACAGCGCCGGCCAAAGCCGTAATTTTTAAAATTAAGAAGCCAAGGTGTCCAAAGACAAGCAGTGTTGGAATTTGTGGGACCACTGAGATGGGAAACTTCACAGCAGTTGTTTCTCTAGGCGATGACGTGTTTAGAGATGGGGGCTGAGGGTAGCATTGTGGCATCCAGACTTTTCATCACCATTCCCACAGTTGCCAACACCTGGGCAGGGACACAAGGGAGCTCCATAGAGGACGCCGGGATGTAGTGGCCTGGAAAGCTGGGAATAAATGGACGTTGATCTTGGACCAGGCAGACCCACCTCCAACCACGCAGTCAACAATGAAAGCTCTTCTGGATGTGGTGGTCGTGTGCCCTTCAATGCTTTCCTTAGCGCTGGGGCATCAGTGAGGGTTAATTTCAAAAGGTGGCGGCAGTGGACTCGGGGAGCCTGCGTGGCGTTTGCAAAACTGTCCGCAGTGTTCTGCGCTGGAACCTGAGGCTGTCAGGGCGCTGCACTGTGGTGGCGCTGAGCCCGGCTCCCTGGGCGCCCACTGCGGGCAGCTGCATCTGCACTTCCTTTCCTTGGTTGAAAGCACGGGGGGAGGGGCTAAGAACAGTGATTAATACCCAGAGAGCCTCAGCTGGGGCGTCTGGGGCCGAACTCTTCTCCACAAAGACAGGCTGAGCCGGGGCTGCCCCCGTTCACTCACTCATCCCTGATCTACTCAGCAGCTACCAAATCCTTCTGCTATGGGGTCAGTGTGTCCCCCATCCCAGGACCTGGACTGCGACTGCACTGGGAGGACCGTTAAAGAGTGAGAGTAAGTCAAAGTGGGGTCAGCGGAGTGGACTGTGGCCCAGCACGACCGACGTCCTCATGAGAAGAGCTTAGGACACAGACACATGGAAGCCACAGGCGGACGACAGCCATCTGCCGCCCGAGCAGAGAGGCCTCCGGAGAAGCCGGCCCTGCAGATGCTTGGATGCCAGAGCCCTATCCCCCGGCACGGTGGGGAAACACATGCCTGCTGCCTCAGCCACTCGTTCTGTCCTCTGTGACGGCAGCTCTGGCAAACCAATGCCGCTCCTCTCTGCACGGAGGTAGGCAAGGCCTCTTCCCCTCCAGGGAGGGAGCGCACAGGTCTGTGCCTCTCTGAGCTCCAGCAGTCACTTTAACAGCATGGCTGGCCCACGCCCCCTCTTACTCCCGACCTCTAGTCTATGACGAGGTCCTCTCGGTTCCCGTGTGGCTGGCCCAGGTGCTGTGTCGCATGTGCTTACGGCACCTTGTGCATTGTAGACGCCATGTCCGGTTTCCTGCTTGTGCCTTCTAGGTGTGGGGCGCCGCGCTGTCAGCGCTCTGCCTCTCTGAGGAGCCCCTGGGGGATTCCTTACTGTTCCTGGTCTTCCCTAGGAAATCCCATTTTACACACCGCACGCTGAAGCCTGCCGACAGGGGGTGCTACAGCGGTACCCTCTGCTCTGTGCCGTGGGCAGGCTGCATTCCTGAATCGAGGTCTCGCGCAGTCCTCGCGACCCTTCAGTGTCGGGCTGAATACTTCCGATGATTCTGTCCTGATGCATTGCTAGCGTCTTTCAGCGAATCTTTTTGTAGGGGCATCAGGGTGGGTATCTGTCTGTCTAACCATCCATCCATCCATCCACCTAGCCACACTGTAGATTAGATTTTCTGATGTACATGTTGTATAACATTCAGTTTACAAGCAATTAAACGTATACGATAACTTTTATTGTAGATTCCATACATTAATTTCCACGTGGAAATCTGATGAATCCAGCCACATTACTGGTATTTCATCAAGCGAGCCTACTCCATTTGTTGGTCTGTTAGTCGCTCCTTGCAGGCATTCTGCATGTCTTAGTTTCCAGAACTTCACAACAGTCTTTGGCCTAAGGAACCTGCTTTGTGTTTCGTTTATGTGGATTTCCTGAAGTGGATTCTCTCAGCTTTCGTTTGTCTGAATATGTGTATATTTCACCATCATTATTTTAAAATAATTTACTTTGGAATGATTTCAAACTCACAGGGAAGTTGGAAGGGAAGTGAAAACAATACCCCTATCTCCCTCACTCAGATTCCCAAATTCTAACATTTGTCTGCACTAACTCCTCCGCGTGTTTTTCTTTTCTGTGTATGTATGTATAAGCCCCTTATCATT